TATCTATCTATCTATCTATCTATCTATCTATCTATCTATCTATCTATCTATCTATCTATCTACATATTTTATGGACCCTGGTACAACAACCCTTGAGTTAGAGTCAAATCTGCTGAGTAGTACATAAATTCAGGCTCTACAGACCCACTTCTCAGTATTAGAGACTATTTGACCTTGGTGGAGAATCTTTAACATACCCCACATTTAAAATCAATGATTAACCTCTGGGAATGAAGAGGAAAAACAATGGGTTTGGTATCTTAACACAACTATTGAAGACTCACAGCTGATGTTTGTTTCGGATGATTAATACGGTCACGAAATCATAACCCATGTTTCTATGGTACTTTGAAGTTGACAACCCCACCCCCACCCCCCATACCACTGCAAGGCAGAAGTGGCTAATTCAATGAATGTTATCCTCATTTCACAAAAGGAAGAGGAGGCTGTCATTACCCAGGAGCAGATTAGGATTCCCACTCCCTAACCCACTTTCCTTCTCATCCATGCTCCTTACATCTCTGAATCTCAATATTCACAGCAGAGATGAGGAATTAGAGACTCATTGTCACTCTACTTATATTTCTCCTATAAAGAGCGATCGTTTCCTTCTAACTCCCCAATGACCTTGAATTTGCCTCCTTTGTGTTCACATTTAGTCTCTTTATATTTATCACTCTGCATATACTTATATAGGGCGTCCCAAATGTCTTAGTGTAGTCTTAAGCTATTAAGGCTCAAATTTTTCTCTTAAGGCAGATTTCTTTCAGCTATTGAGGCTTAAAACATCACTGAGACACTCGGGACACACTGTAGATAAAATGTGGGGGTAGCGACTACAGAGCCAGAAGACCTGGGTTTGAGTTCCCTGAGCAAATTATTTAAACTTTCATCACTCCAGGTAAGTCTCTAAAATCATAATGTGTTGACTTGTATTGGTGGAGGGAGTTTCTTCCTTTGGGAGTTCTCTATCCTGAAAAAATCAGAAGTCCCGTTCTGCCCCTCTCTACTTACGTGTGGCCCCCTTCCCTCCTCTTTTAGGATGTCAGCTCACAAGGCTTGTTTCATTCTTGTATCCTGCACTCAGCACAATGCCCAGCATTAATAAATGCTTGTCGATGCATTACCAGTTGGCCACCTTGATTTACATTTTCACAATAGGGACTCAGGCTCAATCAACTTTATATGATCACACCCACAGCCAGGCACAGGTCTTACATAAATGAACAAAGGTTAACGCTTCACACAACCTGATAATGAAGCAAACCTCAGTTCACAAAGCTGTCGCCTTGGCTTTTTTCTCCGTTAAGGGACCACTTGTCACTGTTGAAAATGCAGACACCAAAAACAGGTAACGCAAGTCCTTCTCTTTACTGAGATCACAAAACTCAAGTTAGTTCTGATGCCAAGGCCTGAGCCAAAGAATCTGGTTTTGCTGGGCTGATTTATGTTTTGTGACAGCTACGTGTGCCAGTGCCGTTATCTCTGCAGTACCATATGCCTGATCATATTTTAAGATGTGCTCCTCTCCTCCAGGGTTCTCTTTGGATTTAAGTGGCACCATGCAGATCCTTTATTGCCCTGCTAGCTCACCCGCCCTCTGCATTCCACCATAGACCCCACAGTGGGCTCCAGGATCTACGTGTTTGCAGGGGGATTGTGGGGCATTGCTTTTTAAGCAGAGAATGCTTTTGTGGCCCATTGCATTTAATTGCTTAGGGCACACTGGTACTCAACTGTGAAATATAAATTATTCAAACGCCCTGAAGATGATCAAGGAATATGCTGTTAGGGACTTTTCAGGAACTGGCCCAGACACAAGAAGAAAATTTAGAAAACAAACAAACAACAAAGAAAAACCAGATAATTTTGCTGCTGGAATTTCTGAAGAAGAAAGTTAAGTTTTATGGTAAGGAGATGGCTAATTAAGGAATTCACTGAATTAATATTTATTGAGCAATCGCAATAGATACATATATACACACAGGTACATACACACACACCAATTTAGGCCCTGGGGCTGTTTGTTGGGAAGAAACAAAATGAAGGTCATGGATCTTGACATCAAGAGACTATTTCAGGGTCCATAAAATACCACCAACACTGGTTAATTGGTTGGGACCATGGGCAGGTCAACCCTTTGTAACTCAGTATTCCCATTAATATGTGGAAATGTTCTCCCCTAAGCCTTCCATTTGAAGACTCATTGTGGATGAAATGCCTTAGAAATCAGCTTAACCTCTTCTATGACAGATGAGGAAACTGAGGCACAGGAAAGTGACTCAGCTATGTCCCAGGTCTAATGTCACTGTTCGATGACATGGCCAGGACTACAGTCATACCAACACTCGTCACACAACCAGGACTCAAATTTATTGCTGCCTGATCACTCATGCTGACCAGAACTGCTATAGGCTAGTGTTCATTACCTCCTCGAAATAAATGCAAAGTATTATATGTGACAAGCTTCAATGGTCTGAATTTGTTTTTAATACACAAAGAAGAACCATTTAGCAAGGAACAGTAAAATCTCATTAATTTAAACTATTAAAGAGGTTGTGCCTGAATTAGTGAAAGGGGGTTTGCTAGCAGATTAGTCTAATTAAATTAATTGCTGGCAAAATGTTCTCTTCTTGGTTTAACAGATGGATGGAGTTGGAGACAGAAAGCCCGAGTGCCTCCCAGCAAAAAGTACATGATTAAGTCCTTTAAAGGAGCATTAGGATGAAATGACGCAGAGCAGATAAGCAAACAGAACCAAAGGCCATGGGACAGGTGGCTGTGGCTGGAAAGATCCTGGAGAGAAAGCCTAAGTCCAACCGAGGAATGGAGAAACCCATGAAGGCCCTGAAAAGAGATGACAGAGGTGGGGGACGACGAGGGCAGAATACAAAATACGTGGTCGGATGCAGATAGTTTTGCTTAACTCTTTTTCTTTGAAGGTAGAAAGGGAGGTGGGGAAGGGGGAGAGGAAGGAAGGAAGGAATGAGGGAGGGAGGGAAGGAAGGATGGACAGAGGGAGGGAGGGAAGGAACAAAGGAAGAAAGGGGAGAAGGAGGGAGAGAGGAAGGATGGAAGGGAGGGAGGGAGAAAGGAAGATAAGAAACAAGCGTTCACTAAATAAATTAAATTAGGTGCTTACTTTGTGCTGGGGATACAAAGACAAGCAAAGACAGTCCCTGCCATTTTAATGGGAGAAGACATCACAGAAAAGGGGAAGGGGAGGGAGGGAAAGAAGGCACCATCTGCTTTTGAAGTCCAAAAGCCAGGAACAGAGGAGGACGAAGGTCAGTCTAGGTCCCTTCGAGAAATGGAAGCCCTAGAGGACCCCAGGAGTAGGTAGGATGCTCCATGTCTGGAAGGCGACAATGGTGGGTCTAGGGAGAGGAGTCCCCAGGCACTGAGGTGTTTCCATGTGACGGGTGGGAAAGATCCTGGAGTCAGAGGCCCTGGGTTCAAATCCTACCTCAGATGCTTACTACCTAGACCTTGGGCTAGTCTCTTAATGTCCCTGAGCCTCAGTTTCCTCACCTGTAAAAGGACGGTTTTAGCCTAGATGGGATCTGCAGCTCTGAATCTGTTTCTAATTAAGTCTCCCCACGTTGGGCTTCAGTTTCTTCTCCTGTAAAGTGAGGGGGTTGGATGAGATGGGCCCCTGAGACTAAAAACCCTGGTCTGAGATAGCTCAGATTCTTTCAAATCGCTATAGTTTGGCAAAGTCGCCTGCAGAGTAACAGCAGAGTCAGTGCAGCTGACATTTCTATAGTGCAGCGACAGGATGTCTCATCTAGACTAATTACGTCACTGGACTCTCTTCACAACCTCGTGCCCTCAGCAGGAACAGCATCATCCGTTGTCCCGCACACTGAGCTAGGGCAAGGTCGGGGCCTTCGGAAGGGCCTCCCCACAACCCTGGGAGGGAGAGGATGCTGTTATGAGCTCTATTTTACAGATGAGGAAACCGAGGCAGGCAGAGGCAAAGTGACTTGCCCAGGGTCCCACTGCTGGATTTGAACTCGTCTCCCTAATGCTAGGCCAGCATCCTCCAGCAGTATCCTGTTGTACACGGTAATCTCCTTGAAGGCAGGGATTGTTACACTTTCATCTTTTTATTCTCAGCATGGAGTACAGGACCTCGCATACAGTATGGACTTAGGAACTATTTGCTGACTCAGATTGAGAGCAGAAACCCCGACGGATTGGTCTCTGCCCTTGAAGAGCTTGGGAGGGACGGCAGAGCCCCTGCAAGGGCAGAAATGCATGGCAGAATCATTGTTTAAAAACCAGATCCCCTGCTGCGCAGAGCTCCTGCTACTGGGCTCCAGTCATTGAGGCGGGGACGGAGGGACCCCGGGGGTGCTCCCTGTCAGCTCGGGCACCCTGGGATTCTGGCAGTTACGGGAAAGTAAAAGGAACCCATTTTGAGACCTGGGCTTTGACTCAGGGCAGATGGCATGTGCAGGCGTGTCCACACACACACCACCCCACACACCTCTCACAATTACCCCCGCATACTCACACACACTCCCCACACCAACTCACACCCACCAACCTCCCCTCAAACCTCCCCACCCACCCTCATGGCCCCCAGACTCACTCTCCGACACTCACCTACACACACACCCGCACACCTACACATACTCCCTGGTCACACTCACTACGCTAACCTCCCACTCACATCTACACCCAGTCATGGCAGCCAGTGAAGGAATGCCCAGCAAGAGATGACGAGGTAAAGATTTATTAAGATTCCATGGCCGTCTCCACGTCCCCGCCGTCCCTCCCCGTGAGGCCGAGGGGGCCACCGGCTGGGGAGAGTGACCGGCTGGTGACGACCAGCCGCTCCCGGTGCCCAAAAGCTTCGTTCACTGAAAAGGAAAGAACGGATTGAGGGTCGTGACTTCCCGCAGGACGAGTGACCAGGGAAGGCCCACGAGGGTGGCGAGCCCCAAACCCAAAATGCTCTTTTTCCAACCAGGGAAACAGAGCCAAGACACCCCCGGGGGCTGGGAAGCTGCTCAGAGGGCTGGGAAAACGGCCCCAAACCCTGTCTAAGGGTCTTTCTTTTTGTCCAGCCTCCTCCCTCCCTTTCCTGTCCTGACACACCACTGGCTGTACCCCCGCCCCGGGCCTGGCACTGTACCGTAACAGATATTTGTGGAAGCACCCACACAGAGAGGAGGCTCGATCTGAGTGGAGAGGGGGCGTCGGAGGGGTCTGCCCAGCTTCCCAAGGTCAGCCAGCTCTCCTAGAGAAGGGCTGGGCCCACCACCCAGCCTGCAGAGCCGGGAGGAAGGACAGCTGGGCAGGTGCCTCCGTCCTCTCCTACTACCCCACAGCACACCGTGCCCCCTGGTCAGAGGACGTCAGCAGCTTCACAACTGAGCATTCCGGGTGCATTTCGTAGAATTCCATGATGTGCAGGAGCCAACACGAGGTGGCCAGAGGGAGGGCCCTGGAGTCAAGAAGGCCTGAAGCCTGGGTTCCGGTCCTGCCTGGGCAGTCACTTAATGTCTCTGTGCCCCCAAACAACTCTGAGGCCATTAGGCGCCAAGCGGCCGCCCATCGGCATTAGCAGAGGGACCTCCCTCACTGGGAGTCAGTGATGAAATCACAGGCCTTGTCAGAGAAACAAAACCAGGATGGAGGATGACAGAGATGCGGCTGGTCTCTGGTCAGCTGGGGTCAGTCTCCAGCCACGGCTGTCTACGCTTAGCCCAAGCGAAGGCCTGCCAAGGACAGGCCTGGTCAGAATGGGGAAGAATCCGGTGAAGAGGAACCCTTACCTGAAGAAATGGTGCTGATGTCCCAGACCCGGAGCCCTTCTCTTTGGCCCCCAAACGCATAAACAAAAGGCAAGTCCGGGCAGCACGAGGCACAGAAGAGAACACCCTACAGGAGAGGAGCATGGGGGTGTTGGTGCCACCCCCCAGGTCCACGCCCCCGCCGCCCTCCGCTCCTGCGCCTCCAATACCCCTCACCAAGGAGGGAGCCCTCGGACTGGAGTTCACAGCCCGCGGCAGACACGCACGGAGGGACGAAGGCCGAGTGCTCACCGGCCCTCAGAGCATTCCCCGTGGGCCCAGCCCGGACGGCCCAACCCCCTGCTTTGGGCTGTTTCCTCATTCTCTGAACTGGGGACGAGGACGCCCGAGGTGCTTCTCGGTGAGGTGAAGGCTCGTCAGCTGCTGCGTGTGTCCAGTGTTACAGTCTTTGGCAGCGATGGTGACCTCGCTGGGGCCGTCACGTCACGGAGTTGGGGAGGAGGGACTCCGTGACGTCAGCGGCTTCAGCTCAGAGGCGAAGCAGGGCCCGGGGAGACGGAAGTCCCTCGGCCCCAAATGCCTCACCGTGAGAGGGCCCGGCCCCCCTTAGGACCAGGGCTCCAGGGCAGAAGCAGTGAAATCGAAGCCTCTTACCATCTTCATGTCTCTGGAGTGCACCAGGCTTGGTCTGTCTCCCAGGACGTCCCAAATCTTGACGTACTTGTCTGATGATGAGGTCACGAGGCAGCCCTTAACCTGACTGCTTAGCTCGAGTCCTGGAAAGGAAGGCCCCCAAGGGAAGAGACTTTCACCTCTGTTATGCCTGTATTTACGTCATCAACGAATACCGGGGAAGGAGGGAGAAACCACCTGGACTCACCGGAAACTTCTCCATCATGTGCCTTGAGTGTAAAGATGGGCTTATTTGAACGCGCGTCCAAATTGTACACAAAGCCGTCCTCCGTGCTGGCCTGGGGGACCACAAGGGACAAGGAGACACCCATCGGTCAGCAGGGCGCCCGGGAGTGCGGGGGCCATGGGGTTCAGCGGGCCCCTTCCTCTGTGCACCTTCCATTGGTCAATCAATCACTTATCCAGTGCCTGCTTTAACTCTAACCGTGAGGATGCGTCCACTTGGACGGAGATTTTGCTCTTTGGTCTACTGGATAGTATAGAAAATATGTGACTCTGGGGCCCGAGTGACCCCCAGCCCACAGACAAACGAGGCTTGGAAGGACGCCTCAGGAGGGAAGGCTCCAGGCATGGAGCGGGTGCCCTCCCGGCTTAGGCTGGACACGCCCAGAAGCTGCCCAGCCCCGCCTGGTACAGGCTGCTCCCCATACCTGACGCTGTCCGCGTCCTCCTCAGCCTTGAAGGCCAACTCCAACCCAACCCCCCACGCCTCCTCTGCCCTCCTCACATCCCCCCCTCGTTCCTCCGACCAAACCTTCCCGTTGTGGCTGTTAGAGTCGTGAGTGCGTATCTCTTTTCTCTCTAGACTAGAATGGAACCAAGATGATCCTACTGCAGGCCCCTCTGATCCGTGGAGAGTGAAACCTGCTTCCTCTGCAAAGCCTCAGCTGGTAAATGCCCCGATGGCAGACTCCCAGGCATGTTTGGGGCTGGGAGGACCCAGGCTCCTTTCAGTCAGCCTCAAAGGTCAAGGTCCTGTACAGGTTCTTACCAAAAAATTGCAGGGAGAAAAGTGATTCCAGGTCACTCTCTCCACCTGCCCGCTAAACTTCCAGAGGCGGTGGTTCTCCTGGGGACTCCGGCAGTCGTACAGGGCCACGGACCTGGAGGGCCAAGGACAGGGGAGGTGAGGAGCCCCGGCTGGCCACCGGTGATGGAGAATCCCAACCCTTCTTCACTTCCCTAAGAGGAGGGACCCGGCGGCCTGAGCACAGGCTGATGTGCCTCTCTAGTTTGAAGGTGGAAGGGCCCAGAGGCCACGGCCTCGCCCCCGCCCAGAGCAGGTAAGAGGCCGACAGCCCACGTCAGCCGCTTCCCAGGGCAGCAGGGCCATGCAGGCACCACACCTGGGTACGCCATGTTGGAGGGGCACCCTCGGGCCAAGCCCTCGTTCTGTTACTAATGTCATTAGTGATACGACACTGAGTGAATCACTTCTCTAAATGAACGTCAACTTCCTCACTTGTGAAATGGGGATAATGATGACTGGAGGATGAGACGAGATAACAGATCAATGTCTGACAACTGCAAAGTGCTGTGTCAACGTAAGCTGTCCTGCTGCTCTTTCAGGGGAATGGGACACACATACAATTGGCTGTATGACCCTAGGCCAGTCACTTCACCTCTGCCTGCCTCAGTTTTCTCATCTGTAAAATGGGGATAATGACAGCACCCACCTCCCAGGGTGGTTGTGGGGATCAAAGGAGATAAAGTGCCCAGCAAACTGTAATGCTAGCCATTCTGGAGTGACAGGGCCTGGGTTCAAATCTCACCTCTGACGCTTGCTACCTGTAACCCTGGGCCAATCACTCCACCTCCGGGGCCTCAGTTTCCCCACGTGTCAAAGGAGGAAGCTGGAATAGATGGTGCCTTAACTCCTTTCCAGCTTGATGACCCTGTGATCCCTGACCTCACAATTTTACTGAATAAGGAAGGGCTGTAGCAGTTTCTTAAAAACCAAAGTGTCACTATGATCCTTTTTAGCACACAAATAATTTTCTCTCACCAAGAAACCTGCCAGAATGGAGAGGGAAGGAGATACGCTTCCACAACTAAATCTGCCTAGAGATTTGGTGCAGAGGCAGAAGGGGGGACCCCGCTCACGGTGGAGCGGCTGACACGCACGGGCCCCACCGTCGAGAGCGAGGCCACCCCTGTCCCGGCACGGTCGGCCTCAATTGTTTTGATCGCCTTGGTCATTTCCGCTGAATAAGTGGCCAAGATCTGACTCTTGGGCTGACGCTTTCATCGCCACCATTTGAAAGCAAAGGCAGGCCCTTCTAGGGAGTCACCAGGCGCGCCAGCTTCTCCAAGATGACCCACTGTCCCTGGCACGCTCTGCCCCGGTCACCGCTCACTCTTGTGTTAGACTCTAGCAAGGACTCCCGGAACACCACCACCCACCCAGAAAAGCCTCCCAAGGCGCCGCTGCACACAGAGAAGACGCTTACTTGTTGTATGATCCAGAAATCAGGGTCTGTGGTTCAAATGGATGGAACTGCAGTGTCTGGACCTGAAGGAGGCACAGAACAATTTAACTGCTGGATGCAGCTTGAGAAAGCAGACAATTCAAAATGGAGCCTCTGGCATGACAGTGACCAAGTCAGACCCTGGAGGAGGCGTGAAAAGACGCATCTCCCTCCCTCTCTTCTTCGGGGAGCCGGGGGCTATGGGTGCAGAGCGCGGCACATACCGTTACACTTGGGAGATCAATTTGCTCAGCTGACTTTTCCCTCCTTCTCTAATTTTTGTTGTTACTACAGGTAGCTTGAAATATATTTGGAAAGGAAGATGATGTGAAAACAAAGATATCAATTAAAAAAGGGGAGACAACCGTCTGATCCTCTGGTGGGCACGACTAGACACACGCAGTCTATCTCCTGAAATTCCTGCCCTGGATGGGTGAGAGCCCTTTCTAAAGCACACGTGTCTGTACCACCCGATCACAGCCTCCCAAGGAGAAGCTGCGGCAACCCCTGGCAGGATCACAGAACAAACACCCTCGGGGCCTCTCGGGGCATGTTTCCAGCCTGCGCTTCTGCGGCTGAAGGACCTGAGGACGTGTGAAATGGAGGCGATCTGTCTTACTGGGAATAGTGTGGCTTTTTCCCTGGGACTGCACAGAGAAAACACCAAATCAAATACCTTGTCTGTGTGTAAGGTCAGGTTGGCCGCAGGCTTCCCCAATGCCATGTCCCACAGGATTACTGTGCCATCGGCGGATGCGCTGGCCAGCACGTTTCTGGAAAAGGAGGAAAGAAAACAGCAAGTCACCTTCACAGAAAGCCCCAAGGTATTACTTTAGACCAGCACATGGGAAGGAGAGATGACTTGTCTTTGTGCATTAAATAGAGTATCTTTAATATATTCCCCCTGGAAATTGAGACCTAAATCGTCAGCCTAGAGCATTAAAAGAACCTAGTTAAAAGAAAGATGAGATGGAACCAAGTCGTCTCTGAGAGTGGCACTCTGGTCTAGGAGAGGCAGCAGACACAGGTGGGTCCATGCTCTTGGTAAAGGAGTCATTCCAGGGAGAACCACACTGGTCACCCCAACATGACTGACTTCAGGGACCTGTCGATTGCTAGAGAAGCCTCTCGTCCCAGGCTCACACCCCATTATTTTGATTACATTTGCTGTTCCTGTTGAATAAGCGGCAGAGATCTGACATTCTGAGCTGATGTTTTGGTCACATGTATTTGGAACCACCAGGACTGCCACGGGTCCCACAGGCGCTCACGTTGGTATGATGTGCACATCGATTGTTTCTCTGTTGGGTGGCAAGGCTTATTATCCAACCCGATTGCTACAGACTCTTTTCTATCTTCCTTAAATACTAGGACCCTCCAAGAAAAGCCTTCAGAGGAAGTGGATGACAGCAGCACACAGAGCAGGCATTTTGTGATGGTAAGGATTTCATTGGAAATCAATGTCCTTGCTCTAGAACCCATAAACAAGTCACTCATTCATTCAATAACTATTAATGCCAGTCAGTTATCATGGGGTCCTGGCAACAACCCCAAACCGAGGCAGTCAGACACAGAGCTCGTGCCAAGGGCCGCATCTCCTTCTCAAAAAAGAAAAAGAAATTACCTCTAGCAGCAAAGGAAAACCATGGCGCTACAGGAGTGGCATCTGAACAGAATGGAGTAAAGATGAAACTTAAATTAATGACAGAGCCGGAGGGGTCAGGAACGAGGAGAGGTGCAGATTTAGGTAAATGTGTCCGTGTTGAGTCACCCCCCCATTGGCAAGTGGTCAGGGGACATGAACAAGCAGGCTTCAAAAGAAGAAATACAAACTGCCAACAATCCGACGGAAACAAATGGTTCAAAATCACTAGCTCTCAGAGGAAAACGGGACAATCCTGAGGCATCGCCTCGCAGCCATCGACGTAGCAGAGTTGGGAAGAGGGGGATGGGAAACCTCCCTGCGAGGGAAGCTGAGAAAACTGACCCTCCTTCACTGCCGGGCAGCTGTGACGTGGCCTAATTGCTTGAAAATTACGCAGGAAGTCACTGAATCGTTCTGGTGATGCCGGGATCTTATTCTGGGACTATATTCTAGAAAAGACTCACGTGTAGAAAAATATTCATGGGGGCTGGGAGGGAAGGGAGTAAGTATTTCTACAGCACCTACTACGTGCCGGGTACCGTGTGCAGCGCTTTTCAAGTACCATCTCATTTAATCTCCACAACAGCCTTGGGAGGTTGGTGCTCTGACCTCCGTTTCCCAGCCGAGGAAACTGAGGCAGGGAGAGGTGAAGTGACTTGCCCAGGGTCACACAGCTAGTGTTTGAGGCTGGATTTTAACTGATTGTGGATAGCACCCAGTGCTTTCAGGTGCTTCACGACACCAACACGCTGGAAACAAAAGAGATGTCGAGTGACTGGGGAACGGCCGGGATGACCACGGCCGAGGGATGTAAAGAGAAGTCACTGCTCCTTGGGGAATGCGGCTGTGAAGACCCGCAGGATCCCGGGAAAAGAAGGACAAGGAGGGCAATAAAGTCCACAGGAAGCGGTGACAAGCTCCGGGTCTCCTTCAAGGGCAGACGCCGGGCACCTCCCGCCCACTGTCCTTTCTGCCGACGCTCTTGATTGGCTCTGACAAGAGGGGGCCATGAACGTCTCACGGCCTGGGTCCAGCTCCGTCTCTCTGTGCGTATAACAGGGGGTCTTGGCCTCTGTGTCGGGGGCCCCTTCGGCAGCCAGTCTGTGGAAGCTGCTTCGGAATGATAACAGCCCCTTCTTAGAATGTGCTTAAATAACTAAGGGAAGTGCTAAATTTCACTTAGAGGTTAGTGAAAGTAAAGATGTCATTTTTTCCCCTCCATCCAAATCCACAAGTCTCCTGAAATCCATTCAGGGAACCCCTCGAACCTCAGGCCATGCGCCTCTGCGAGAGATGGCTTTAAACCAAAGCAGGCATGCCAGCGGGGCCGAGTCTGGGTCAGTGTGACCACGGACACAGGTAGCTTCAGAGGGGGCCCGGGTTTCCTTCCCTGTACACACCCAGAGCCATGTCCTTGTTGCCTCCTATTTTTTTCCTGCACACCTTCTTCCCTCTGCATTGTGACCACCTGGAATTTCTCATTAGACTCTCTCTCCCTGGCCCTCTCCCCCTCGGCTGCTGGGCTCCCATCCCCCACTACTCTCCAAGTGCCCACAGGCGCACCATGTGTCCTCCAGATACCTTGGACAGCAGGCCCTCACTCGATTAACACTGAATGGCTAGAAGAGCACACAGCCTGAGGTTTTCTCGGGCTTTTTACTTCTAGTTACACAACGAACATATAAAAAGGTTCTTTCCTACACTCCCATGTTCCCTACCTCCTCCCCCAGCTGCTATACTTCTAAAATTTCAACTCAGGACAGGGAATGACAGCACAGAACTCGAGGCTAAGAGCACATCTTTGTACCCAAAGGCCCCCGGTGAGATTCACCTACATTCAGCTCAGAGGAAAATCAGCTTCAGACTATCCAGAGCAGAAGTCCTTAACCCGGGGTCTGTGAACTTGTGTGTTAATAGTGTGATAACTGTCCACTCTGTAATCCTACGGATTTTATCTACTGCCTTTAAAAACTTGATTCTGGCTGGGCATGGTGGTGCAAGCCTGGGATTCCTGCTGCCTGGGCAGTGAAGCCTTCTTGAGCTCGGGAGTTCTGAGCTACAGCCAGGCAGAAGTCAATCAGGTGTCAGCACTAAGTCTGGCACCAATGAGGGTCACCAGGCTGCCTAAGGAGAGGCAAGAGGCCTAGGGCGGAAGTGGAGCTAATCAGCAGAGGAACGGGGTGAATTAACCATGCACTTCCTGTCTGGGTGAGAGGGAGACCAGCCTTTAAAAAAAGGCTGAGGAGGCCTTCATCAGACTGCCCCAGGGGTACAGGGCACCAAAAGGTGTTACGAAGCCCTACTCCAAGGCGTCTCCTCACAAGACGAGGGGGCAGCGAGGCAGCGCGACAAGCCAACAGCAGACGGGAGAAGAGTCAGGGCGGGCAGGGGAGCCAGGGTCTACAGCAGCCAGTCACTGCAGGTGGGTGCTTATACGTAAGATGCCCCTAAGTCAGGGGCAGCAGGTGTAACATGGCTGAGCCCCCATCGGTAGAGTGAGCGGATGTGCTCCAGGAATTCTCAGTAGGGGCAAAAAGCCCCAGAAGCTTGTTAGTTTGACGCTGAGATATAACTGAAAGTTAGCATTTCCCTTAGTTATTGAGGAATATTCCAAGAAGGGGCTGTTATTATTCTGAAGAGGCTTCCGCAGACTGGCTGCGAAGGAGTCCCTGACACAGAGGTTCACACCCTCTGTGATCTGCAGAGAGGTGGAGACGCATCCAGGCTGTGAGACGCTATTAACAGGGAAGATGACTTGTCAAGACGAGTTAGTTAAAAACGTTGTTACCTGATTAGTTTATTCCACGAAAGATCGAGAATGGCGTCAGTGTGTCCTTCTGGGGTCTCTTCAGCTGTTCGGCTCTGTAATAGGTAGGGACCCTCAATTATTTATTCCTTATGATAACGAAATCTTTTGGTCATGGAGAAGAAAGGGTGCTTTCAAGGCTAGAGGCAGCAAGGGTCCAAGGTCTGGCGCCTCCCTAATCCACAGGGCCGTACCCTGGATTTGGGGTCAAAGGCCCTGGGATGGAATCCTATCTCTGATATGTATGAGTTGTGTGACCCTAGGCAAGTCACTGCACCTCTGACACTCAGTTCCTCATCTGTAAAACGGGGATGAAACCTGTGATCCTTCCCTCATGGGGTTCTTTGAAGTTCAAATGAGATGAGGTGTATAAAGTATTTTATAAAACTTTAAAGGGCTACACATATAAGTCAGTTTTTATGTCCCCGGATGACCTCTGATAGGTCATGTCATCTCTCTGGGCCTCAGTTTCCTATTCTGTAAAATGGAAGCAGTGGCAATAAATGATGTCCAAGGTCCCTTCCGGCTCTAACTCCAGGGTAAGGCCGTGTCTCTCACAACAAAGAGGCAGGATTTCATTCCAGTCTCTGACCCATGTAACTGCCAGACTCACCTAAGTAACTGCCAGACTCATCTAACATCCCACAAACATCTATCGTCCAGCACAGGAACCATGCCAGTCGATGAGGTGGTGACTCCTAAGCATTCACTCCAAAGGCTAAGCAGGGATTAAGAATACCAAAGGGGGCCTGTGCCCACCCGAGCAGCTGTCAGAGGTAAAGGAGGCCACTGCCCAGGGAAGGAGGCCGCTAGCCAGTGGAGGAGGCCGCTGCCCA